CATGTATCGTGTGTTGATAGAAGAGTTTTATTATTTATGTGGCTTTTATTCTGACTAGCTGGCCTCTTGAACGCCATCAAATCTCCTGCAGCATCTGTCACGGGGCTCCACCGTGGCTTCAGATGTGGATGACAAAGATGGCTCAGGAGTAAGAGTTCACTTCCCACAATGCATTGCTCCCATCAGGATTATTTATTTGCCGAAATGAGTAACATCAAGGCAAGGTCACTTAAATTAGTTTGTTCTGATTTGCTGCTCCATGCACCTTGTGTAATGAGATAATCTATTGTTAAACAACTTGCAAATAAACAATGTCACAGTACATTACACTAGGCACATTTCTCTTTTTTTAAGCAAAGATGACACATCGATAGGGCATACAGGGAAAAAGTGCAACACATTGTTGTGCATAAACCTTTAGCAATATGTTTCCATATATAAAGAAGAACTCTGGCACAAGTTTCAGAACGACATGCTCTGACTAAGGTAAGTTGTGGTTTATCAGCAAAGCAAAGATGGCCTTTCTAATTGCAGGATGTTGCAGACTCGGTGAAACTAAACTGAAATCCAGCAAGTTAAAATAGGAAGGTTTAGATCTCACCTTTGTGAGGAATTCTAATGTCAGTGCTCAGGCAAGTATTTGCAGGGTTTTTTTTTTTTTTAGTCTCCTGTAAAATCTGAGGCTCTAAATCGATTTTATTGACCTTTTATTTAGTCAGCAGTCGTTTTCACTCATGCTTGGTTGCTTAATGAAAAGTTGGAATGGACCAAATTGCCTGATCCCTCCATGCAGTGCCAAGCATGGAAAGTGAAAGTCAGTTTCTGATTTGGTTGTTGTTTGAGCTCTAGACTGATTCAAGATGCAGCACTAAAAAAATTTAAGGCAGGGAGATGATCGGAGGTGTGTGTGTGTGTGTGTGTGTGTGTCCTAATCCGCCTGGGCATATTGTTATCCTGCCATCCAGGAACGGATAAACATCAGAAATGCAAATCAATAATTACACATTGTGACTATTTCACAAACTGCAATGAGACTGCATTGATATTTTAATTGCCGTTTTGTCTGTTAATCAAGTGGATTTCACTAGCGATGCGTCCATGGATGGTCACATTTCTTTTCAATCCACAAGTTTCTTGTGAAACTCAAGAACAACAGAAGTAATGCAAAAAACAGAAGTAACCACAAACTCTGTCACCTTCTAACGGCCTCAACCAGTTACCGGAACTGCCAGAGTCTCTGTTGTAGCTGCATTTCTTTATATTTGAGGTCGTTTTTGTGATATTCAACAAAGTCCACAAAGCTTGTGACTTAGTGGTGACCCGCATTTTCCCATGGGGGCAGCCTTCCCTGTTTTTAGTACAGCTCCTGGAGAAAAGCTAGACCTTATAAAGTGTCTGCCCAGCAGTGTTCATTGTTGTAAAATCAAGCCAATCAATTTTTCAATATGCTAGACAAGAGACAAGGTAGAAAAATGTTTCCCAATCTATGAACCAAATTAATCCCACTCGTTCGCCATAACCACATCTTTTAACCCCACACTAGCGGTTTCATTATGGCCCGTTAAGTAATGTCACACTTTATCAACTTTTGAGGTTGAACTTAGATATATTTGTTCTTCTCAGAAACCATGAAGCTTCCAACCAGCTGAACTAGTTTAACCTTTCTTTTTCTTTCTTTCTTGTTTTGATATTTTCAAAAGCTCTGTTTCTCTTATTTAGGCTTAAGCTGAACTAAACCTGTCACAGCTCGGGAGGGAATGTGTTTGGGCTGTTAGTGAGTGTACTGCTGTTAAGGAAAGGGGTTATTTTAACAGTATGCAGCACAATACTGAATATATTTTCCCACAACTGTTGGAAGCAAACATCATTGTTCAGAATGCAATTCAATTCATTTCTCAGAAATGTTTCACTCTGGGTATTTGGATCCACTTGCCATTCAGTCTAATTACCACTCCACAGCCGATCTGTCTCTCTGTTTATTTAAACAGAAACAGGAATCACAAAACAGAGGTGACACCAGTATTTGAACAATAGCCTGCCGGAGAAGGGCATGGCTGATTTGGCAGTTACCATTTCACTGAGAGTGCTGCTTTCATGTCCTTTGCTCTCTTTGTACAAGAGGCTGATAGGAGCACTGGGGCCAGCTGCCTCTCTCAGGGCCCCTACTCCACCACCCAGACTGCCTCTGGAGGACCCTTCAGAGCCAGCAGATGAAGGTGAGGCGCCAGCATGTTGGACAATCACAGAGCGAGCCTGTTCTCACACAGGACAGTTAAGTGAAAAGTGAGCTATTGAAACCAGCTGCACTCTCTCCCCCTCAGCTTCCTATCTTCCCTGAGGTGTAAAATGGATGTTTTTAAGGTGAGCTGTGTTTGTCTACATCTGCTTGGCAGAGCATCTTAAAGACAATTTCATGTCGTCCTGTTTTCTTGCAAACCTTAAAGCCTGAGGGCGCCTGCAGCAGAAAGACATGCGAGTGTTTAATTTGTTTTCAGTCATTTCTATCAATTGCTGTGGCCCACACACACACACACACACACACACACACTGAATGTCTGCAAATGTCCGCTTAACACCATTTGCTCAGCAGCTCACCCACAGTTCACTTAGTACAGCATACTGTATTTTGTAGATCAATCTTTGAGCAGTTATCTTCTTTAAAAATTAAATCTTTTGTTTAGTTCTGTTTCAGAATACCAACACACTTCTTTGCTTGGTCAATAGAAAATAAACAAACAGCCATTAGTATTCACACTGGCTTCAGTTCAGAGTCAAGGGAAGTTTGACTCTTTCTTCCAACCTTAAGGGCTGGAAAATATAATCCAACACAGTTTTTATACACCACTCTGCATTCAGTCATTAGTTATTAATCTCTGACTCTCATCCACACCGTGTCTTTTGTCCTGTCCTCCTCCTCCTGCCTCCAATTGGGTCGCAACAAATGGCTGCCTCTTCTGAGCCTGGTTCTGCCAGAAGTTTCTTCCTGTTAAAAGGAAGTTTTTCCTTCCCACCGTCACCAAGTGTTTGCTCATATAGGGTCATCTAATTGTTGGGGTTTTCTCAGTATTATTGTAGGGTCTTTACCTTACAATATAAAGCACCTTGAGGTGATTTTCGGTGTGATTTGGTGCTATATAAATAAATTCAAATTTATTTGAATTCAAATTAATTGAATTTAATTGAATTAAGATCCAAAAAAGTGCAGTTTCTCTAATAACCACCTCAGGTTGTTTTCAAAAGAGGGTCAATATCCATAGCCTACAATAATGTCCAACTGTTCAGCAGAAAACACAACCAAGTTAAAAACAATAAAACAAGACAAATACAAAAGAATCATCTTTTTAAACTTTACTCAGTCATACTGGTGACTAACATGGAGATGGTGTCGTAGGTGCCTGCAGCTAACAGGTGCCTTCCCATCTTAACCAGTCCCTGAACTGGACCTCTCCCCCTTTTTTGTGGAGACACACCTGTTTGACACACCAATGTGACACAGTTATAAAGTCTATGAATTAATCTTGATAAACAATATGGAAACATTCCACCCTCCTGGACCAGAAGTGACAGTGGTGCCATACACATGAGTGGAGATCCTGTGACACTGGCCATTTTGGAAGATTAACCGAAGTCATTAATTGCTCCAAATTTTCTATAAAATGCACTGCTGTTTATTTTGTGGTTACAGCAGCCTCACTGAACAGGACTGAAAATGTATTTTCTTGTTTACTTGCAAAAAAAAAATAAAAAATACTTCGAGTGCATGAGGTTTTGTGCCTTTCCTTTGTGATCTGTATGTCAGACTCACTAAATATAAACAAAATGATGCACTTATTCTAAAAATATCTAACTGAATGAGAAAGATATATCAACAAGAAAAAATCGTATGTTGTCTGGCAAATTATAAAAGAGAGTGGGGTAAAGGGTGTTTTTCACTTGAGCTCAGCGTTTCAGCTCTCTTAAGTTCTCGGCTCATGCACAGGCCTGCATGTGTCCTGTGAACCAAAATGAGTTTGATTTAAAAAAAATAAAAAATACAACACAAAAAATGGTAAGTCTTCAAACCTAGCGGGTTAAGTCAGTGTGACTACACAAATTTTGCAGAACAAACCTGGCGTTCTACATTTTTATGACAAAGTTATGAGGTTATACTGTAAGTGCAACACCAGAGTATATACAGGTGCTTCCTGGCAAAAGAGAGGGATTAGGAGGTTGTTTGTGCATAATTTGAACTCTGCTCAGATCCACCACACACTGCTGCTATGGCTGGCATGTACCTTCTGTAGCTCATTGTTTTCTAATGGCTACTTGAGAAACAATGGTATAACCACACTGTCATTCTGTCTGAACTGTCAAAGGTCGATTATTGACTTGGCGATGCACTGTGCTTTAGGAAGGCTCTGTGTATTCCAAATAAAAACCTTAATCATGTCACACTGTCTTTTTAAGGCTCTCCCTCTCACCAGACTTCCTTGTAGCTCTCGGTGCACTATCCCAATAGTTATGGCTTTGGTACAAGTGTTCTCAGTTATTGGGCCACCAGCAGGGATTACATGCCTAACTACATAGGAGATCTTTGGACTCCATCACTAATATCTGTTTTACTCTTTTGTTAAAGGAACTTGATCGCTTACTACATGGACTCATGTGAACAGTTTACTTTGATAACCTGCTGATGCTGCTGATGTGAGATAATTCTTACCACAGCTCTTCACAACTTGAGCCTGATATTCCAAGTAGTTCAAAGGAAAAATCCAAATTGCAATTCAACACACAGACACAGTGTCTAGATCATGTTTTGCATCCACACATATCATTTCCACAACAGCAGCCATGACAGAAGGTCATAGGGCTAACAAAGTCATAACAGTATGAAGTCTGCTGATTTGCAAACACAACAAGTGTTAGACATGTCTTTTATCCATTGCAATGCTAAGAATTCACCCACGTGTTCAAGTCCTCTTTGGTTTTGTATATTTCTGTGTTTGTGCCTTTGTTCTGACCTGTAGCAGCTCCTCTTGGTCATCACCAACCTCCAGTGCTACAGTGACCGAGGCGAAGGGACGACTGGCCATCTGCTGTCGCTCTCTCATCAGCTGCTGTAGAGTGAGATGGGGGGAAAAAAGAAAATAGTTTTAATTTATTTATTTTCATGGATTTATTTCTGACAGATTACTGTGTCAGAACTCAAACACAGGTTGTTATTCTTTTACTGGATTTATCCTTGAGAAAATCTACAGGGAACAGCTGAAGGTTAAGTGCTTTGCTCAAGGGCATCCTAACAGTGCAAACTAAATGAGATTAAAGTGCTTCACAATTTCTCCATTGCCAAAAAAACTCCCCAAAACCGATCAGGGTTGTTTGACAAAAGCAAACATGTTAAGGTGGTAAGAAAGAGAAGTAACAAGTCTAAGGAGTAATACTGACAAAAAGGATATCACTGGAAAGAAGGCCAGAAGTAACGAAGCAGTAAGAAAGAAGCAGGTAGATGAAGAAAAATGATAAAAAAGAAAGGAGGATTATGAAAATATAGGTTTAGGAGGAATGGAGGGGGGCAGAGATCAAAGTAGATGCTTGCTAGACACACAGGAGGAAGGCAACGATGAGTGGGGAAAAGCAGCTGGTGGGGGAATGGTGGGAGTCAGAGGGGAGGAGGAGGAGTAGGGCAGGCAAACTTCATTAATGAGGAAATGTCAGATGAACAAAGGCAGAGAGCGAGGCCTTCATCAGCATGAGGTCCAAACGCTGACCGAAAACACAAACAAAGATACAGCACAGCATTTAAATGAAGAATGAAAAAGAAAGAAAGAGAAGAATCCTCCCACACAAAGTAAAACAGAGACACGCACCATCATCAATAAAGCTAAGGAGTGCATCTACACCTGAAACATAACAACATGCTCACTGCATCTTCATCTCCCCTCTCCATCATTAGCTCGGTTTCCCAGCTCTTTCCAAATCAATACGGACATGTTAATGGGGTTTTGTTTCTACATTTAGCTTGGGGTTAGCCACCTGTTTTACACACAGAAGAACTCATTTCTAGCCAATTACATGCCAGGCAATAATCAGTATGTTTCTGGTCATTTTGGCAGAAATTCTGCCTGATGCAGGCTGTGACATGTTAAGCAATGTTGGGAAGACAGAGGGAGTCGATCAAGCTTTTGGTCTCTAATGTGAATAACCTGAACATTGGAGTTTGACTTAGCATGCAAAAACACTCACAGTAGGTCGAAGTAAAAAAAAAAAAAAAAAAACCCCACTTCACCACATCAGATGTGATGAAGTGGTTTAAAACAGACTTTTCCTTATACTTCCTAACATTCTCTGCTTTAAGTCATCCAAGTACACAAATATCGGAAACAAGCCCAAAAGAAAAAGAAAAGAAAGACATTAGGAACAGAAGCACTGCAAGGATGTTAGAGAATATTTGAAAGTGAAAGAAAAAGAAACAGATAACGAGGCATATCTCCAGCCCCCGCCCGCCTTGTGACCTTGAATTGGACAAGCAAAAGAAAATGGATGGATGGCGATAAAGAAAAAATGAAATGAAAGGAGCAAAACCAATAAAAGAAGCCAAAAGCACAGTACTAGATTAAGAAAGAGAAAAATAAAAACAAATTAACAACACAAGGTGAGGACAGGACAGGAAAAGGAGAAAAGCAAAGGAAAGAGAAAAAGTGTAAACCCATCCTAAATATCAATGGCTTCTACACTCTGCTACACTTCTCTAAACTGAAGCAGCTCTCCTGCTGCTGTGTCCTCTCCTGTTGATGAGAAAAGGCTGCACACTGACATTAACTGGCTGTCAGGTGTTGTGCTAGCGCGCCGCCGGCTGCTCGATTGCCGGTGTCAGACTCTTTAAGCATGACTGAATAGTACACCTGTAGCTACATCAGCACAGTCAGGTGCTCCGGCGGCGGCAAGCGCTCTGCTAGCACGCTGCCATGCCGGCTAATGTGATGTCTTTCCTTGTTAGCTGTCACCACTGTGGGAATGCTGCTCGCATGACAGCGAGTGCTTGCTAGCATCGCTGTTAGCCTCCTGCAGATGTCAGTTTAGATTTGTAAAAGACTAGCTGAGTAGGTGTGTGTGAGAGGAAGGGTGTCTGTGTACTGGAAGCTGTGGATGAGGTAAGAGATCCCCTTTAAGCGTTTTTAAACCTTTATGAGTGCGTCAGGATTTGTTATACTGCTGTAAAGGCAGGATAGGTGGCAGGGGGAAAGAAATAGGCCCAAAACTACTGAAAATAGGGTCTAGAGGTGCATCTGTTAGACACAGAGACATTTGTTAATCACCCTGATTAAGTTTTTTAAAAAAAGGATTTATTTTAAAAATGTAGTGTGACAGACCTGTGATCAGCACCAAACCATCCCAGGCCTTTCAGATTGCATATTAGCCCCCTTGAAAAACTATTCATAAGTAACACTCAGACTCATTGGCACAATTTTGAATGTGAAGGTCACTACTATACATGCAAATGTGCCTCTAGTCTGTACTGTCTGGAGTAACTGAACCTAAGTGGGCGACGGTGCTACGCTGTTGGTAAGTAATGAAATGTCAGCCATATTTCTGGATTTCGTCCGTCACGCTTTAGTGTTGATTTCCTTTTTGTTTTCAGAATTTAATAATAATGGATTGCATTTATATAGCGCTTTACAATTACACTATTCATTCACTCTCACATTCACACACTGGTGGAGGCAAGCTACAGTTGTAGCCACAGCTCGGCTCGAACCGGCAACCTTCCGATTACAAGACGAACTGCCAACTCTTGAGCCACGATCGCCCAAACATTTACAGTAGTCATTTGTTGTATTAACAGTATTCATGTGCAGTTTACCATTATGCAAATCTTGAGAGCTTGAAAACAGACAATCTATTCTTTAGGTTTGCAAAGATGTTTCACTTCTCATCCAAGTGGCTTCTGACTGAAAGACCTTTATGCAAACTTATTAAGCTTATTCAGCTTCCAGACTCCTAGTACACCAAAACTAATATATCTGATAAGAAGAACCACCGTCTGGCCAATTAGGATGTCAGTGTGGTGAATAAACTGGATTGCTTCTGTTTTATATACTGTATTAGCCTAGCAATCCTAGCTTTGGTTGATGGTTCACTAACCATCCAAAACTTCACTGCTATTTCATTTATCCATCTTTGTTTAAAGCTTGAAAAACCAAAATCATATGCTGTACGCTGAATGCATATCCCTCATCCTAATAAATTATCTTTCCATTTACATTATTACTTTTTGTAACATCGGAGTTTCTACCACTTCTTATTCTTAGCTGTGCTGGTATTGGAAAATTTGGGCTTGAAAATTCCTAATTAATTCATCCTTAACTGGATCCCTTAATATTTTTTTAAGTTTCCAAAATTAAGGCTGTTTGGTTTAGTTTAGACAAAGATTACGGTGTGAAGAAGACATTAGACCATTAAACAAAGTCTCCTTCCTGATAGCTTTTACCGCAGTATGGTAGCTGAGCTGTTTATACACCGTTTGCGTGCACCCATGTGCAAGTTTGTGTTATGCGAGGTGTTCTCTCTACTCTTTATTCCCTAAAGCTGTTGCTCCTGTTAGTGAGATTAGACAAACTGGTCAAGGTGAGCCGGGTCACATCTGCGTATGTGAGCGCTGCAACCTGAAAAATGAGTCTAGACAGTGGAATTATGTTTAGACATAAAAAGTGGGTTTAATATTCATGTCTGGGGTAAGTTTTCAAGTGTACTGAAGATGCAAGTGTGTACTGCATGTACGTGGTACCTCCAAACGTCTTTATATATACACATAAATACAAAGAAAAAATACAAATATACATTTTGGTCAGAAAAAGACCACTTGTCTGTCTATGTCTGTGTGTGAGTGCTTGTGCATGTGTTGCGAGTTTAATGCCCTCTTTGACAAGTCCTTGAGCAGGCAACAAGGACAAGACAGCGGCCATCTCCTCTGTCTGCCCGTCGGACTGTAAATCAGCCATAAAACAGCTAATTAACTCTGCTGTGCTGTAAACAAGCAGTGCCACACCACACACCACCGAGATGACAAAAGAGGGCGGAGAGCAAAGAAAGCCTATGTGAGTATGTGTTTAAGTTACAGTTAGAAATATTATCCAATTTTCCTGCAAGGGCTTTAGCTGGGTACCTGAAATCCCAAACTAAATCAGAGAAAGACACAAAGCTGATATTTTTTAGGTAATACTGGCGTTTCTTCACATTTTTTACTCCATATCAAATATGTTTGTGTTTAGTTAGCCATGAGGGGCGGGACAAAATCCACACATTTATTCATCCAGCCATCTCAGTTGGACAGACAGACGCATAAACAGCCAAGAGAAAAAATGAGAGCGCTGCGACAATGAAGCCAATCACATGCTGAATTATGTTTCACAGAACACCGCTCACCCATAGTAGCACCTGCAAGCTCAAACTGCCAGTCCTGTTAGGCTGGAAATATCTGTGTAATGTGAGGTTTGTTGATTTCAGAACTACTCCTGTCTAATGATGGGTTTCATAGCACCACAAGTGTCCCTCTTCTACTGAGGCAGCAGTTAAAGCTCTGTGAGGGCACAGCTATAGAAAGGTTAGTAAACCGATCCATGTATGTGGGTGTTTGCATGATTGTAGGTCTTTGTTGGGGGGGTGGGGGGTGTAATACAACACCAAGCACTCAGTAACCATTAGCCCCTAATTGGTGGTACTACAAAAACAAAACCAGCATGCGTTTGTCAGTGTACACGCAAAGCTAATGAAAATCCACAAACTCCAAGAGAGACCAGTGACATACAAAGGCAGACAACCTGACACTTTAACAAGGAAAGAGGGGAAGGTGGGACTACAAACATAATAGGAACTGACTACCAGGAATATAAGCACATGAGAAATGAGACAGGTGGGAAAAAATGGGGTGGACAGGAAGAAAAACAAATATAGGAAGTCACAGGAAGGTGACTTACATGAATGAAAACTGTAATAACACCTGCAAATCATCGGACGCAAACAACCGCCGCTCAAAATGACCAATGCGGCTATCCAGTCTTTGGCAGATTATCGGCTCACTCAGTGTGATAAACCGGCCAGTCCAGCTAGACGTTTTTTA